GATATTTTGAAGTAACAGAGTCATTATTAGATATTTAAATTTGTCATTTAGTGAAAGCCATTTTGATTCATAAACCTTTGAACCATTTTATAGTAAAAGGAAATATTTTTAACTACTTAAGATTTACTTATCAGAAGTCTCCGGTGAGTTAATAATTAAAACTTATATCCCTTAATATTGAATTATTGGACAACCATTGTTCATATAAGTCACTGATTTTTGTTAATAAAATGGCTGTAGCACAACGGTAGAGGGGGCTTGCTTCTGAGCAAAAGATTGGATATTATATATGTATATTTAAAAGGTTCATTGCAATCTTCTCATGCTATCGTGTAAATATATGTTTCATTACTTTCAGACAGAGATTATGTTAGGTTTCGGGAGTGGGTTGTACCTCGGTCCTTTGCTTCACAGGCTGAAAGAATTCACGCCCAAGCGCGTTGGGTGATCCAAGTGAGCTTTGATAAAGGACAGGACACGTTTGGGTACATTGCTGTTTGGGGAAAGTGTGCCAAGCTACGCAGACACCGCGCTGGGGTTCACAACTGGACAGGGCCCACCGTGTGGAAGAGTACCCACACATGCAGGACTGGAAAATCCTGGGGATCAAGGTCAAGAGAGCAAGGGGCAAGAGGGCGAGTTATTCTAGCCCACCTCTGACCGGGGAAGGTGTGGTTGAAGGTATTGGTTGAGCTCATTGGCTTAGTTAAGCCCATCCGGGTGGGCCTGGCCCTAGTTTGGGCAACCAGGTGGACCTCCCATCTGGCTCGGGGCCTTGGTTATGAGCATGCTCAGTTTGGGGTCTTCATAGGCATCTAATGGTTGCCTGATGTCTCCCCAACCTCCTCCATGGGAGCCTTTGCAGGCATGGGAGGGACAGCCCCCCTGTCCCTAAGCTAGCTCGCTAGCAATTATTGTAAACTTGATTAAGGTGAATAGAACCATGGTGCAATATGATTCTTGGTCAGTTGACCTCTCCCTTGACCCTACCTGAATTTGCTCTGTGCTCAAATATTTCTCAATTGTTCCAAGTAAGAAATTCCTTCTCTGGCTTTTTAAATATTGTTGATGTTATTTTCTTTCTCAATCATTGTTTTAATTTTTATCTTTATATTGTTGTTTGTTTTGTTTTATTTCTGTTAGTTCTTCCAGTTTAGGAAGTACAAAAGGAGCGAATGCATAGATGCAATGGTTTATTGGGAAGTAGGGGAGTGGGGAGGGCAATTAGAGAGCCAACAGTGGATGCAGGAGGGAGCATTAGAGCTGATTGTGATGATGTGGATGCAGCTCTTTTTAGCTGCGACTTTACTAGGGAAGTGTATGATATGTGAATATTATATCAAGAACACTACAAATAACAACAACAACAAAGAAAGAAACCAAACTTGACCTATGGTTACCATCCATGGGTGAAGAAGGAAGAGGTTTTGCATAATAGGCATTGAAGTCATTTTAATGGTGGTGTAATAATTTGGCGAGGGATTACATTAATGATTGTATAACACGAAGAGTATAATAAATGGGATCGAATTATACATGTAGAAGTTGTTGTATTGGTGAACATTTTGTTATTATATTTTTGCCAAAATTGGAAAAAAAAAGTCCTTGAATAACAATGAGTATGGGGGAAAAGAAAATGTCCTAAATTGAGTATGATAAAGATTGTACATACAAAACGATGCTGGCAATATAGGTACAAAAGTGCTCGACACATGGATGGATGTATGGATCGTGATAAGAGCTATAAGAGCCCCAATAAAATGATTTAAAAACAAACAAACAATTGTACAGCTCTCTGTGATAGGACCAAACTATTGAATTGCATGATATGTGGATGAAGTGCTGATAAACTGTTTTCTTTTTTTTTAAAGAAAATTTTAAATAAATTTTTATAAAAATAAATATATGTTTTATATTTTTGTGGTACATTCATCTCATAATAAATAAATGAAGGATTGGCAAAATTCAGTAAACTTCATTTGCTTGTCATGCTTAAAAAAGAGTGAATGTTTAATAACCAGCTAGCTTGGCTAGTTAGTTAGTGAAGAGATGGTTAATATCTGTGTTATTAATGATATATTTCTCAAGTTTAGAAAGCTATAAGATAAAACATAAAGTTACCATAATATCTGCTAATGGCTCAAAAATATATCAGTGTTCTCAGGACCTCAGTGCAAGTTTGTCTAAGTCAATTATCAGGTGAAAAAGTAAATTATTTCTTAGCGAATTTTTTAATTAAATATGAATCATAGGTAGTTGATGTTGGTTACAAAAATCCATCTTTCCCTCACTGGAGTATGTCTAAGCTTGATTGAGATAAACCTGATACAAAAGTCCACCATTGCAGGAAGTAGTTCTCCAGCAGGAACCAATGACGCTGAAGGAAGAAATTCAACTACACTAAAAAAGCATTAACTACAAAGAAGATTCCAGGGATTGATGGAACACCAATGGAAGTGTTTCAGCAAACTGATGAAGCCCTGGAAGCTCTTACTGACCTGTGCCAGGAAATTTGGAAGACCACTATTTGGCCAACTGATTGGAGGAGTTTCGTATTTGTACCAATTTCAAAGAAAGGTGACCCAACAGAACGCTCTAATGGTAGAGCAATATCATTAATATCACACGCAATTAAATGTTCCTGAAGATCGTCAACAACAGTTCCAGCAGCATGTTGACGAAGTTGAGGGCCAATTCAAAGAGGGTGTAAAACAGGGGATATCATTATTGATCTTGGCTGAAAGCAGAAATTATCAGGAACATGGTGACTTGTTTCTATTGACTATGCTAAGACATTTGATTTTGTGGATCGTGACAAACTGTAGCTAGCCTTGAGAAGAATAGACATTCCAGAACACTCTACGGTGCTCACGGGGAACTTCTACATGGATCAAGAGGCAGTTGTGAGACCAGCACAAGGGTAACTGAATGGATCAAAATCAGGAAAGGTATGTGTCAGGGTTGTATCCTCTTCCCATACTTCTTCAGTCTGAATGTTGAGCCATTCATTAGAGAAACTGGATTATGTGAAGACAAAGGGAGCATCGGGATTGGAGGAAGACTTACTACCAGCCTGCAGTGTGCAGCTGATACAGCCTTGCTGTGGAGAATGAGGAAGCCCGGACGCACTTGCTGAGGAAGGTCACGGATTGCAGCACGAATTGCAGGACGAAGGTCACGGATTGCAGACAAAAATCCTCGCGACCGAACCAAGAGCTCTCATCAAGGCTTTTGTTTTGCTTTGATCTATAATCAATGTTCATGGAAGCAGCATTTAGGGGTAAATCTGCTGCACAAGACCGCTTTAAATTGTTGAAAAGCAAGGATGTTGCTTGGAGGACTAAGGTCCACCTGACCCAAGCCATGGTATTTTCAGTTGCCTCATAGGCATGTGAAAGTTGGGTGTTGAATAAGAAAGCCTAAGACAAGTGGTGGATTTGCAGTATAGCGCTGGGGAAGAATAAGCAAGTCTGTCTGGAGGAAGTACAGCCAGGGTGTTTCTTGGAGGCAAGGATGGCAAGACTTCATCTCACATGCTTTGGACATGAAAAGAACATCATGTTTCATGAAGGGACAATGCAAAGGAGGAAGGCCCTTGTCAAGATGGATTACGCAAGAAGACTGCAGCAATAGGCTACGGCATAAGAACAATTGTGAGGATTGTTCTCAGGGTCAGGCAGCATTTCATTCTGTCTCACATAGGGTCACTGTCCTTCCAGTCAATTCTGACTCCTGGAGACCCTGTGGGCTTCTCGAACTATGACACTACGGGAGTAGAAAGTCCCATCTTTTTGCCTGATGGTACCTAACAACAACAAAACAGCCATAACACCCTGGTCAGTCACTCCTTATTCTTCAACGTCTTCTTAATCAAACCAATGCCATCGAGTCAATTCCAACCAATAGCTACCCTATAGAGTGAAGTAGAGCTGCCCTTAGAGAGTTTCCCACAGTGTAATCTTTATGGAAGGAGATTGCGCAGTCTGATCCCGTGCAGCATCTGTTGGGTTGGAAATGGGAGTTTTGGGCTAGGTGACCGCTCCATGTCAGTTCCACCAGTGCTCCTTTCTCCTCCACTGGGTACCCTCTGATCCACTCTTTGTCTTTATGGGTGTGCTTATTCTGGTGATTTTATACAAATTAATTCAGACAATGTGCAAACTTTCATGACTGGCGTCTTTCACTCAGCTGACTGCTTCAAAATTTATGAGGTGCCATATCAGGACTAGAGAATGGATCCGTTTTCTATTCCTTCATGTGGATAAGGAGTATTGCATTGCATGGATATACCATATTTTCTTTATCCAAGCCTCAGATGATAGACATGTGGATTGTTCCCACTTCCTAGCTATGATGAGTAATTTTTGTTATTGCTCATTGCCACTGAGATGATCCCAACTCATAGCAAACCCATGTGTTCAGAGTAAAACGGTCGCATAGGTTTACCTTCAATGAATATTCATTACATGCATTTTTCATATAAGACATGAGCCTCTGGTGCTTGATCTGAGGAGTTCATGCCAAGGTCTCTGCTTCCATCTTTATTCGAATCCTTTGCTCAACGTTCAGATTGAATCAGGATGGTGAAAGAATGCAATCCTGATACACAGCTTTCCTGATTTTATATCGTGCAAATGCCCTTGCTCTGGAAAAATGGCTGCCTCGTGGTCCGTGTGCAGGTGCCGTGACTTGAGTGACGGGCGCTGCACTCGTCAGCTCTGCGTGTGAGCCTCATCTTCCCCTGGACTGCTTTTCCTTCCCCTTTCTGTTTTCATTTTCAAGTCATTTTTCATGGGTTTCTGCCCTAACATTTGCAAGTCTGCTGAGATAGTATCTGCCCTCAAAGTAAAATCATAATAATTTGATTCTCCCAAGTGACTGCCTTCACACTTACCATTAATAGACTTTGCCATCTTAACTGCATGCACATTGTTCTCCAGGCATTTTCCCGGTGCTTGTCAAAGTCGAGACCTTTGCCTTTTCCTCCTGTTTTCTGTTAGGTGATTGCATGTGAACAGCAATTGGATACCACGTATGATGCCAGATGTGACACATGGTCCTTGGGTATCACGGCCATTGAGCTGGGGGATGGAGACCCCCCCCTTGCAGACCTGCACCCGATGAGAGCCCTCTTCAAGATACCAAGGTCAGTGTGCCCGCCCGCGGTTAGCCGGTCCAGGCTCTGCAGTCTGGTCCTTCTCTCTGAAGCCAGTGAGGTAGCATCATGCTCGTTCTGGACATCCTCAGAGACGGTCCAGCAACATGGAAGCAGAGTAGCCCGGAAATCATCAGAACGCCACAAAGGCACCATGGTTGTGCAGTAATTTTATTTCCTGGCCCAAGTCAAAGAGCTCTGTGGTGACACTCGGTGTGTCTTGCTATTTTGAACTAGAAGTTGACCTTTGAGAATGGCAGCCCAACCCAGTCTTTCTCTGCTCTCCAAGGAAGCATCCAAGCGCCCTGGACCACTTTCAGTGCCTTCGTGATTTCCTTTGCTTCACTCTACCAGTCTAGGAACTTTTCACCACTTGTTAGGACTTCCCATGGTTCCAAACTTCAAAGCTAATTCAGTAATTCTAAGTGAAATGTATTGATTAAGTAATAATCCTCTTAATTGTGTTAATATGTTGAGTCTATCACTAGAAAACAACTAACAGAGAAGAATAAGCTCTCTGGAGTCATGTCCTTTACTACTTAAACACTGTCCTATTTATGCAGACTTCTTCCCTTTGGCAAACGTGCCTCTATTGACCCTGTTAGTAATTCCAAGTAGTCCTGGATGACAGCATTCTATTCCAACAACTCCATTCATTGTAAGTTGGCTTTGACTACGCTAACACTTCATCAAAAAAAGTTTTCCATAAATACAGTGTATGTTGGGGGTGGCATCGGAATGATAACACATCAGCAAATTATGTGCTGCAACATTGTACATGGTATGTCTACAAATGTTAGATATACAGATAAAGCCCCAAATAAACAGTCATTAAGTATGGCTTTCCTTAACTCAAGTGTGTGGTAAATTGGAGACAACCTGCACTTAAGATATATATATATAAACCTAATACATGCTTATGTTAATTTCACATTCGTTCAGACAGCTCGTGTGAGAAGGCTGCCTGTCTTTATTTAGGGGTGTCATCATTTGAAAACGTTCCAAATTTCAGCCAAAGGACACTGATCAAAAGTAGAAAGCCTTGGAGGGGGGTGGATTCTACTCCTAAAAGAATATTGCTAATTAATATATTCATCTCAGAATGGATCTGTTTTGAATATTTAGCATACAATTGAGTTTGTTTGGGGCTGAAGCCTTTGACCTAGCACTTCATCGTACCTTTGAATTTTCTGCCCTGTTTATAGATTCCAAATGATAATATCTTAGTTCTTCACATAACAATTGTAATCTGTGTCTCTGCTCTTACTGCTTCTAAAATATGCTGCCTATTTTATCAGGGGCAGGGGCCATCCAGGTTTCAGAAAACCTTCTCTGTCCCTAATTCACGATCTTTCCTTCAGTTTGGGGCAGATGAAACACAAACTCTGTTTCTCGACTCCTGCTACTGCTTCTGTAAGATGAGAAGCAGGACTTCCTCAACCACTTGCACGGTAGCTGAAGACCCTGTCTGGCCCGCTGTTACTGCGCTTGATACTAATGCTGCATGAGGGAGGCTGGCACCATTGTCGCTGCGCCCAGGAGGGCAGCCTGCTGGAAACCGCACCTCCTTAGTCGTCTCTCAGTGTTTCTACCGCCATTATCACACCACAATGGAATTCTGAGAATACGAGCCACAGAAATAATTAGAAATAAAAGTGTGTGAAACACCACCCAGGTCTAAATACACTGAAATCCCCAGAACTCCATGTTCCTTCCTCAGCACACCACCACAATTCTGACAAAGGATGTGATGATCAGGAGAAAACAAGACTAAACAAAAATGCTGGCCAGGAGAATTGCTTTGTTGAATGTGCAAATCAGCGTCTCCAACTCGTCCGAAGGCAGGACTGTGAGATGAGCATTACGGGTGATCTGTGGGAGAGGAGTCGCTGCCGTGTTCTTTAATGAGCCTGTACCAAGTGTACATTAATCTCATCGTGCGCTATTAAAGGAGTAATGCAGAACCACAGGCAGTGTCTTTCCAGGCCACTAATGAAAACAGAGAGCTGTTAGAATTAACATAAAGCAGCACTTAAGCCAATTCCACTATCATGGCTGATCAATGGTGCTTGATTACAGACTTGGAAGAGCCTCATTTTCCAGGGAGGCTCTTTTGTATTCAGGAATGTGCCAGGAAAAAAAGAGATTTGTTCTGCTGACAATGAAAGGAATTAATAAGGAAATATTTTGAGTGGCATTTAGGGTTTTGTCGCTAATAATATTCTCCAGTCCCTTACGTTGGTCACATTGCTGCCTCCGTGTCTGCAGGAACAGCAAAAAGCCAATGGCCCATGGAGGCATTCAGTCTTCTGTTTCCCTCTCGGCACCAGCTTCCTCCAAACTAACGCTCCTTCCAGGTCCCCTCTGTGCTGCTGCCACGTTCCTTAGAGCTTTTCACAGACTTAAAAAAATCCCTTCTTGCTGCTATCATTGTTTCTGCCCTGCGAAGTATTGATGGCTTTCCCTGAGGCTCCCAGGTAAAAGCAGCAAATTCTTTGGAAAGCAGAGTCAACAGTTGGAAAAAATTGGGTCATCTATTCTGTGCTTTCAGAGAAACCAGGAGCCTGTCATTTTATATAGAGGACGATTAATACCTCAATGTCTGTTTTTGAATTGGGAACTGATGGTGATACGTGATTCCACTTTCAGAACTTGTGATTAGCCATCCACTCTGCCTCCCATTGGGCCCAGACTACCGGTATCGGTGACGCAGCCTGGTTTTTGTTTTTCTAGGAACCCGCCCCCCAAACTAAGGAAACCTGAGCTGTGGTCACCCGAATTCAATGACTTCATTAGCAAGTGAGTAACAATAGTGGCTTAATATTTTTTAATTGTTTTATTGGAGGCTCATACAGCTCTTATCACAATCCATACATCCATCCATTGTGTCAAGCACATTTGTACATTTGTTGCCATCATCATTTTCAGAACATTTTCTTTCTACTTGAGCCCTTGGTATCAGCTCATTCCGGCCCCCATCCTCCCTCCCTCATGAACCGTTGATAATTCATAAATTTTCCCCACCCATATCTTACACCAACCACTGTCCCCCTTCACCCACTTTTCCTGTTGTCCATCCCCCTAGAAAGGGGTTATATATAGATCATTATAATCGGTTTCCCCTTTCTCCCCCCACCTTTCCCTTACCCTCCTGGTATGGCTACTCATTATTGGTCCTGAGGGGTTTATCTGTCCTGGATTCCCTGTGTTGGGAGCTCTTACCTGTATCAGTGTACATGCTCTGGGCTAGTCGGATTTGTAAGGTAGAATTGAGGTTATGATAGTGGTGGGTAGGAAGCATTAAAGAACTAGAGGAAAGTTGTATGTTTCATCAGTGCTATACTGCACCCTGACTGGCTCATCTTTTTCTTGTGACCCTTCTGTAAGGGAATGTCCAATTGTCTACAGATGGGCTTTGGGTCTCCACTCCACCTTCCCCCTCGTTCACATCAATATGATTTTTTGTTCTGGGATTTTGATGCCTGAAACCTGAACCCACTGACACCTCATGGTCACACAGGAGTGTCTTCATTTAAAAAAAAAAAAAGCCAAAGCCATACCATGTAGCTATTACAGGTTCCCAAGTAAAAAACAACTGACTCCCCTTTCATATTATGTAAATTTTCCTTGACTTTGAAGATTAAGCCATCGCTTCCACTGTCATGTAGATTCCAACTTCTAATAACCCTGTAGGGCAGAACACAGCTGGTTCATTGAGTTTCTGAGTCTGTAAATATTTGTTGGTGCAGACAGCCTCATCATTCTCCTATATTAGGTTGCTGGTGGATTTGAACCTAGGACCTTGCTGGCTAGCAGCCTAACATTTAAAACCATTATGCCAGCAGAGCATGTCCCTTAAACAAACCCTTCATTACACTAACCTTCACTTACTACAAGTGCAGCTTTTAAATCTTTTTTAAAATCGTCTAGCATTTTCTTGCACTACCGAAATAAAAGCCAACTCCCCTTCCACCTTATCACTTCTGACTCTGTCCAACCCTACAGGACAGAGTAGAACTGCCCCCTGTGGGTGTCCTAGGCTGTAACATTTCTGGGAACAAGCAGGTCTTTCTCTCAGGGTGGTGCTGAGTGGGTTTGGACCATCAACATTCAGTTTAGCAGCCAAGTGCTTAATGGTTTTGCCCTTAGGGCTTCTCACGAACTACTTAACACATTTCAACCCAATTCACCAGTCTTTTAGGGTAATTGGTAGTAGCTTTGAAGGGCTCCCCATGTTTCACGTAAAGCCCTCATGTTTGCAGATCCTCGGTGGAAATGCCCTGCTCTCACATGCTGTGCACATCTCCCCTTCCCGGTGTCCTCCAGGCAGGAGGAGCCCAGCCTTGCTTCCACCACTGTACATCGTTGCCGTTCCTCTAGTAAGACGGCCAGTTTACTTCAGTTACGTGTCTAGATGTGTGTCTCTTTGCCTAGACCACAACTCTGCAACTCTGGTTTCTAGCCATGTGTCTGATATGCTGGTAAAGTTTTATTTACATGAAATCACTTCACTTGTCACTGTACTGACTACGCAGATACAAGGGCTAGAGATGCATATGAGGAATTGCTTTATTGGTAAACCCAATAAGGTGAATTACCAAGTCACCGTTCCTGGAGGATTCACAGGATTGAATAGAAAATGCATGCTCAAACCAAAGCAGGTTCTTGTTGTTGTTCACTGTAAAATTACTGATGACACACATTGAGCAACTGCACATTTTTCACGTACATAATTTAGTGACGTGAATTACATTACCTGTAGGCAACCATCACCAATAATCATTGTCAGATTTCCAATCACCATAAGCAAAAACACATCCCTTTCCAAACAATGATTCCCTCTCTCCTGCCCGTTAATCCTAATTAAACGTTGTGTCTATTTTCGCTCAAGCTAAGGCTGCTTTTGTTTGGTTACACTTTAATACCCCCAAATAATAATTCATCCCTGCGCAATTTTCTCATAATCATAAAACTGCAAAATCTCAGAGTTGGAAGTGTCTTTGAAGTAAGTTGGCCCAAACTCATATACAGAGTTTAAAATATTCACTGGGTTGTCATCCAATCGGTGTATAAATATCTTTAATAACTATCATTATACTTTGTGTGCTCATCCACCTTTTGAATAAGCCTCATTATTCCTCCTAATACTGCTTTGAAATCTGTGTCTCTGTTGATGCTACTACCTGATCGCAGGGTTGCTATGAGTCAGAATCAACCTGGGGATTGGCATCTGCATGCTGGTTTGGAGGAAGGACCCTTGGGAACTAGTTCTCCCTCTTCCTAATATTTAGAGCCATCTGTCACGGCTCATCAAACATCCTACGGTTGTTTCCACGCTCTTTCTGCAATAATGTTTCAGGTCCTCTCGCTGGCCCTACTCTTGCTCAGGAGTGCATGCCGGGACTGTGTGCGTCGGTGCATACTCATGCATCACCTCAACAGATAGCCACTGACTCTGAAGTTAAGCATCCTTCATCCTTTCGCCGCCTCACATGGGTTAGCAGTTCGGTCACGTAGGAAGAACACCATCAATTGAGAAGCCCTGGAAAGCATCAATGAAGGGAAGGGAAAGCTTGCTTTAACTTGAGATAAGCAGTACAAGTGTAATGACTTTGTGGTCGTTTATTTTTAGCTACCGACTTGTCGAAGGGACTTTGCAGTGAGGACCGAGTTCAGTTCTCACGATGCAATGTTGCTCACCTGGAGACTCAGGAAGTGGTGTGTCGTTGAAACTTGGTTTCCCTGCAGCATAATAATCACTCACGGGTGGATCTGCTTCCACAGACACACAGTCCATCTGAACATTTTTGAGATGGGCCCCTTGGCCTGAACGTTTGTTAAGGCCATAGATAAGATATCTAGTGCTATATTCTGCTTCTTTCTTTTTTTTTGAAGAATAGGAATAATATTTTCATACCACTGTGACCTATCTAATAATTACGTGTTCTTTTTTTTTGCCAGTGCAGGTGCTTGACTAAAGATTATGAAAAGCGTCCAACGGTGTCAGATCTTTTGCAGCATAAATTCATTACCCAAATCGAGGGCAAAGATGAGAGTTTACAAAAACAACTCATGGAATTCATTGACATCAATCAGCGTATGGGAAGCACAGAAAAAGCCAGGTAATCAAATAGTAATATCTTAACTCCCGAGATCCAAAGATTATTTAAAAACTGAACAGTGTTATAATGTAATAGTAGATAAGGTTAAAACCAATGTATTTACATTTCCTGGTATGAGCTGGAACACTTGCATGAAAATGGAATGTCCAACGTTGAGTTGGGTCTTGATTTTGGTAAAACTACTGGCAATATTTTAGAGAAAATTTGCATTTTTAAAACAATATCATTAGAACAAAAAATATAAACTTCAGTAAATGGTCAGTTGGGTATTCATTTTCTTCTGTTTTAAAATATAAGAGATCTTAAATTTGGGGTTTTAAAAGAAACATAAGACTTTTTTTAGGTCCTTTTAATGTTTTTATGATTTGTTGAAATTATTTGCCAGGTCGAACTTTTAAAAAAAGTAACTTTAGTATCCTTCTTCAGACTTCCAACTTGGAGTTTTTAAGTACCTTCCATATAATCTTTAATAATACTTAATCGGCTTTTCCTTATTGTAAGCATTATGGATGTTTATTTTAGAAGATAAAGAGACCGTCACAACATAAAATTAACCAAATTTAAAATGTTCAGTTTAGCCTTCCAGTATTGTTATTTCAAATGATTATACATTTTAAAACAAATTAGAGTCATATTTGTATGTGTTTGGGAGCCTGTCTTATTTCACTTCATAGTGAATATTGATATTGTACTGCACATATTTTTAAATGGCTATACAATATTCCCTTGCATAACAATTCAATGGTTGATTTAAATAGCCCCCTATTATTAGACTTTTGGGCTATTACTAATTGTTTACACACTAGTAAGTGATACTGAATATCAGTGAGGTTGTACATTCATCTCTTATTGTCTCAAGATAAATTAATTTAGGTGGTACTATTGAGTCAAAGAATAATCTATTGTAATTTAAAATCACTCTTGGGAATCTTTTTAGTTACATCTCATGAACATATCACGATTTAGAGAGTTAGAAATAATGAGTAGAAAATAGCACATGAATTTCTGCACTGGGTTAATATACTGAATTGCTATTTGTCTAATGTTCAGATACTGTACGACAGCTTTGTTTTTATCATCTTATATAATTTCACACAACCCTAAAGGAAAGGTTTTATGACACCCCATGTTCACAGCTGAGAAGAATGGAAGTGTGTGGAGGTTAAGTACGGAGGGTTTCACAGGCAATCTGCCACCGCGTCAATTCCAACTCAGAGCAATCTCAAGAACTATGAAAGATTGGGATTTCACCTACTTGCAAGTTAGGACATTAGCCTCTTGCAGGCTAATGAGTGCTTGCAGGAGACATAAGACTCCTAGATCTGAAACAAAGGACTCTGTTACCCACAGCACAGCCAGCAGCGTGAGTTTTATGCTCACATTGGTTGTATTCTCCAAACCAAGACCCACAGGTGAGGTAGAACCCGCAGGTCTGTGCTGTGTACACAGTGAGTCTGCCTCCCCCCGGGACACCTGAGATTAGACACTGCACTCTTTTCAATGGACTACCAGAAATCTTGCCCAAGCATTGCCACTGAGGAGACATTATGTTGATTATCCTAACTGCAAATAAAACCTCCCTCTGTCCTGGAGGGAGACATAATCTTTATCTTCCAGGGCTGTTATATAAACATCCTTGACAAATCCATCTGGGACCTCAGCTAATACGAGACAGGCAGAAAAGCGAGAGGTCCAGGGAAAATATTCTCCTACCACTCAAGAATGGTTGAACTGCACAGCATTTCCTGCATGTGGCCGGTATTCTCAGTGTCCTTTACTTTATTTCTGCGTTCTCTTCTCTGGAGGCTTTACCCTTGCCATGACGTGCTGTGGTGTCCAGGGTCCTCAATCCAAAACCTTGTAGCCTCTATGATTTGGAGGAGAGTACCAATCTAGTCACTGAGCTAGTAAGAAGTTGGTCCTACCTGAGATGCTCTATACCATCCTGTCATCTCAAACACCTGACGTCTCACACAAGGCAGTCCCAGGAAGAAAGCGCAGTTGTTTTTCTTTCTAGATGTTTGAAATGAACTTGTAGGTAACTAAAGACTCCAAGTCCGCTTCACTTTCCCTTTTTTTTTAAGCCTCTCATACTGACATTTAGATCCAGTGGATAAGGAGTCTTCAGGGTGTTTAAGGTAGTGAGCTTTCACTCTATCCATTCACTTATTCATTCATTCACTTATTCATTTAAAGAAGCAGAGTCTATATAGTTGCACACCCCATGCCAACAAATGAAGTCAGTAATAATATCCCATTAAACCCTTCATAAGTGTGGTTTTTGTTTTTAAATCATTTTATTGGGGACTCGTACAACTCGTATGACAATCCATACATACATCCATTGTATCAAGCACATTTGTGTATTTGTTGCCATCATTATTTTCAATTTTTTTTTCTACTTGAGCCCTTGGAATCAGCTTCTCATTTTTTCATTTCTCTCCTCCACCCTCCCTCACTCATGAACCCTTGATAATTTATAAATAACTATTAATTTTTCATGTCTTACACTAACCCATGTCTCCCTTCATCCACTTTTCTGTTATCCATCCCCCTGGGCGGGGATTATATGTAGATCGTTGTGATTGTTTTCCCCTGGTATGACTACGCTCAATATTGGGCTTGAGGGGTTTATCTGTCTTGGATTCCCTGTGTTTCCAGCTCTTATCTGTATCAGTGTACATGCTCTGGTCTAGCCAGATTTGTAACATAGAATTGGGGTCATGATAGTTTTGGGGAGGAAACACTAAAGAAGTAAAGGAAAGTTCTCTGTTTCGTCGGTGCGCTACTGCACCCTAACTGGCTCATCGCCTCCCCACAACCTTCCTGTAAGGGGATGTCCAGTTGCCTAGAGATGGTCTTTGGGTCTGCACTCCTCACTCCCTCTCATTCACGATGATATGGCCTTTGTTCTGGATCTTTGATATCTGATACCTGGTCCTATCAACACCTCGTGATCACACAGGCTGGTATGCTTCTTCCATGTGGGCTTTCTTGCTTCTCAGTAGATGTCCTCTTGTTTAACTTCAAGCCTTTTAGGCCCCAGGTGCTATATCTTTTGATAGCTGGGCACCATCAGTTTTCTTCACCACATTTGCTTATGCACCCGCTTTGTCTTCAGTGATTTTGTCAGGAAGATGAGCATCACGGAATGCCAGGTTAATAGAACAAAGTGTTCTTGCATTGAAGGAGTACTTGAATAGAGGCCCAATGTCCATCTGCTACCTTAATACTAAACCTATAAATATATGTACACAGATCTGTTCCCCTATTGTCATATATATTTACATATGCACATGCCTGTATTTAGACCTCTATAAGTGCCCTTTGCCTCCTAGTTCTTTCCTCTATTTCCTTTCACTTTCCTCTTGTCCCTCTATCATGTTCAGCCTTCATTTGGGTTTCAGTAATTCCTCTCGGTTACATTGCCCTTGATCAAGCCCTACCAGGTTTCCTACACCCTCCTGGCCATCAATTTTAGATCACTTGTCATTCCCTTGTCCCTGGGTTTAACACCCACTTCCTTTCCTCCGCCTACCCTTCTTCCATGTCCCCCCCCAGAACCATCACTCCCATTGTTTTCTCCTCCAGATTGTTTATCCCACCTATCTTATCTAGACAGACGTGCAGAGATAATCTTATTCACAAAAACAAGACAGAGCAAAACAACAAAAGAAAATAGAACAACTCCAAAAAAAGAGAAAAGCCTGTAAATAGTTCAGGGTCTGTTTGTTGACCTTTAGGAGTGTTTTCTGGTTGACTCTGATGGGGTGCCACACCCTGGCCCCAAAGTCTGTTTTTTGGTATTTGTTGCTCTGCTCCCCGTGCTGTTCTGTTGCACGCCCTTAATGTTTCACCTCAGAGTGGTGGGGTCAGATCAGGAACAATTCGTGCACTGTGTCTCCAGTGTTGTCCCCCATGGGTCAGTGAGGGACATTGTGTCTCATAGTGGGGCCAGTTCTACAGTCCTCTTTGTGAATTGGCTGCTCTGAGCGGGAATATCGTCGTCAAGGCGTGGTGGGCCAGGCTGTGCTCCACTCTCTCTTCCTCCCCATTCATTTGCTCCCGTGTGCTCTGATCAGACATGTCCCTCTCCCTGAGCTGTAGCTTCAGTGCTGTCCTCTGAAGTAAATTTTTCTGGGGAGAGTGGGGGCTATAAGTGTGGTTCTTTTTTTATTGTTCATTTCCCTTCCCATCCTTCATCTCTCCCTCTATAATTTTCTATCCTTCTCCTCTCCCTGCCCACACCCTGTCCCTGGCCTCCTCAGAGACTTCAAAGTCTTATCTTTTGGTATACAGAACACTTTCCTTTCCTTTTGCTTTTCCTTTGACTATGGTGGCCTTAAAAAGCTATCTTGATAACATTGACTAACTTTGCTGAGCATAATGTTCTCTAGTTTTGACCATGTCTTTCGGTGTTTAGGAGGGTTGTCATTGTTTTTCGTAGATGCATTAGGTTCTAATGTGTGAATGTGCCAGTTTGTTTATCTGTTGTCCCATCTTTGGGGTTGTTTGTTGCATATTTTGTTGAGTCTTCCTTTCCAGACAAAGGAACTCCCACTTCAGGCCCACTGTCTCATCTGAGATATGTCAGGATCCTCATTGTGAGTGGAACATTTTGGTTCCTTTATTCTCCAGACCTTGTCTGCTTGTCCCTGACTCTTTACATCTCAGAGGCCTTCAGATTCTGCCCACTTACCCAAGGTGGAGATTACATGATAGAATTTTGCAAGACCAACAGCACCTTCATTGAAAATGCCAGTTCTCAAGAATATAAGTGGCAGGTGCACATGTGGATCTCACCAGGTGGAATATACAGGAATCAAACTGACTTACTCTATGGGAAGAGATGATGCAGAAACTCAACACCATCAACTAAATCAAGGCCACGAGGCAGCTATGGAACAGATCATCAGTTGCTTGTATGTAAATTCAGGTTGCCGTTGAAGAAAAGTAGAACAAGTCCAAACGACAAGAACAACAAAATTCACTGCTGTCCA